CCACATTTTACACTCGGCTCATGGTTTCTGGCCAACGAATCCGAATTATTTTGCGTAGACAACTGTTCATGAATACTTGTGACTGGTGCATTACAGCTTATGTAGTTGTTCAAAATTCTGCTACATATAGCTGAATCGTCATGATGTTTATTTTGAAAGTTCTGATCTTTCTGTCGATTGATGTTTGTTTGCATTTGCAAGTGTTGTTCAATTGTACAAATGCAAGCATTACTTTGAGATTTCGCGCCTCGACATCTGCATCAAAACGTGGTTATTTGTTTAGAAATGAGCAGCTCGTAGCACACTGCACAGCAGAAACATACTTACATTTGTTAGGCCTGTCTCACAACCGTTGCTGCATTCGAATACACACATTTCCACTGATACGTAATCAGATCATTTCAAATAAGTTCTCTACTGCACGTGTTCATTATTTGTCGCAGCATACACAAGCAATTTTTATATGTCATCTATGGTGGTTTATGAATAGTAATGCATTATGCACAATTTTAACCGGCGTGCATTTTCACTGCTATGTTCATGCGAATTTTCCCTCTTCAACCTGCTACTTTTTTTCGAAATGCCAGGTGTAAAATGCTGCCGGAATCTTTCAAAGCGTCCTGACACTTTTTTAACAATCTGCTGTCCGTCTGCATCTGCCGTTCTGTAAGGCGTCCAACCGGTATTCGTATATTTCAACTGTGCAATGCGCTATGATTTTTTTTGTTGACATATCTGCGGTCTCTTTGATTGATTTTAGTTGTTTTTCTAACATATTATTTTGAAATCGATTTCAGATGATTGACGTCACATTCTTATGAACATTTCATGTTATATACAGAAAATCACAATGCGTCTATTTCTGTTTTATGACGTTTTCTTTCAACGAATATGACTCTCGTTCTTTTCATAATTAAATAATAAATACTGTTCAGATTGTCCAACTTTTCAGTTTCTTTAAACTCCATCTGTATTTCTTATGGGGCTGGCGAACGAACAGTTGAAGTTGTACATCATGCAAATGAAAATATTTTGAAGCCTAATCCTGGTTTCGCTATGGCAGATCTTGTGCAATAAATCTTCTCAAAAGATGGCATCCTTGATCATCATGATGAGACTAAAATATTTTGGTGCCTCTTATATTACTAGAATTCGAAGATGTAATCTAACAGATGAGGAACAACTTCAAGAAGAGACTTGATATACATATACTGACGTTCAAATTATCATTATACTCACGGCCAAACTGTGCCTGATATATGAATGGAGACTTGCTTGTTGTTATTATTTCAATCTCCGCAGATTACTAACTTTAACTATCTCCCTTATTATCTATAATTACTCTCCCTTGCATACACTTTGGTCTCCTAGCAAAATCTTCTTTGCCAATAAGTAGAACAAATTATCTATCATTTTACCTACGTACTTGTTGTCTATCGATATCTATTAGCATTGTTAAATTTTAGTATCTCGTGTTGAATTTGAAGTACAGCTCACCAATGTAGTGTCTCAAGACTTGACTTCAATTATACGAAGGATGGTGTTGGCAATGAGAGAAATCTCTTTGTCCATTTCCGTATATCATACCAGTTTGTACGACGTCTGTAGTTGGAAGACGAATACGCTATTGCTGATAAATGAATTTTATGCAATCATCTGTAGTGGTATATTTTTAAGGAGAGAACAAAGTTGCTGAAATGGAAACATTCATTATTGTACTTTATTCTAATAATAATTGTTCTATTGTACTGCTTTTGTTTGGCCGTACTAAAGACTTTAACTCACGCGACAAGCGTGTGGCTCTCATTCCTCGTTTATCTCGGTGGTTGTTTGCTGCTTCTTTATTCCGGTCTGTATATCGTTTCGTTATCACGAGACCACAAATCAATACACCTCCTCATCCAATTAGAGTCTTCTATCTGATTTCTGGATCTATAGGGTTTTTAATTGGTAATCTCGTGAATACACATTTGAAATCATTAATCAATCATCATTGTTAGACCACCATTAGAAACCTGGAAGCACTGGACGGCCGTTTCGTCCTAGTATGGGACTCCTCAGCAGTGCGCATCCACGACTCCTGCTCCTCGCAGTGCTTCCAGGTTTCTAATGGTGGTCTAACAATGTTGATTGATTAATGATTTCAAATGTGTAAAAACGCAAACCTCCAAAACTGTGCCCCAATATAATGTAACAGTGCTCACTAGTGACTAGCTTCGTGAGGAAATTCTCGGAGTTCTAGTTGAGAAGACGTGACCAGTGGAGTTCAACCCTGTCGGGTGTAGGCAGTAACTACCAAAGACAAATGGGTGAGGTCGCGCAAAATCCCTAGATCAATCAGAGTTAGACATTAACACCGTTGGATGCCGGCCCAGTGGTCCGATGGTAAGGCGTTCGCCTACAATGCCAAAGGTCCCGGGTTCGAATCCTGCGAGGAGCAGGAGTCGTGGATGCGCACTGCTGAGGAGTCCCATACTAGGACGAAACGGCCGTCCAGTGCTTCCAGGTTTCTAATGGTGGTCTAACAATGATGATTGATTAATGATTTCAAATGTGTAAAAACGCAAACCTCCAAAACTGTGCCCCAATATAATGTAACAGTGCTCACTAGTGACTAGCTTCGTGAGGAAATTCTCGGAGTTCTAGTTGAGAAGACGTGACCAGTGGAGTTCAACCCTGTCGGGTGTAGGCAGTAACTACCAAAGACAAATGGGTGAGGTCGCGCAAAATCCCTAGATCAATCAGAGTTAGACATTAACACCGTTGGATGCCGGCCCAGTGGTCCGATGGTAAGGCGTTCGCCTACAATGCCAAAGGTCCCGGGTTCGAATCCTGCGAGGAGCAGGAGTCGTGGATGCGCACTGCTGAGGAGTCCCATACTAGGACGAAACGGCCGTCCAGTGCTTCCAGGTTTCTAATGGTGGTCTAACAATGATGATTGATTAATGATTTCAAATGTGTAAAAACGCAAACCTCCAAAACTGTGCCCCAATCTCGTGAATATTGGTTTAAATCTCACTTAACATCTGTACAGACAGACATGAGAATGGACAGCCTACAAGCAACCCGTAGAAATTTAGGGAAGGCGAGTGCGATAACACTTCGTGTGCTGTAGACTGACTAGGTATTTATAGTCAAGCAATAATTGGCTAGACATATAATGAGCGAGTAGGCACACAATCTAACAGACGACAATCGATACTGTTATTGGATTATTAGAAATACAAAAAATGGTCGATATTAAGGTCAAATAAATTAAACGACTGAGAATGGTGAGATGCCACAGAATCAGGTATTTTTCATTATTTGGTATGGTAATATGAACAAGTATCTTGTAAAGTTGCTGTTAGTTTGTAATGATAATTATCTCGTTAATCAACTGTTGTTACCTGTTGTGTTAGCAGGCTAGATTGAACTTAGAATTAATCATAGAACGAATTTTTTGTGTTTGACAATGACTGATAAATAATCATGTATATAATGCATTTGATACAGAGAAAACTGGCAGATGCTGAACAGGAAGAAGTAGAAGAATTCACAGATGTACAAGCGCGAAAGAAATATGTAAAATTTTTGAAAAATCTCTCTCCAGTAGTAAATATTATAATTAAAACTATTGAGGATGTAAATGTAAGTACGATGACTTTTCAAATTTAAACGATTTTTGTGTTATTTCTAGTCTGAATTCTTCCTCACGATTTGCAGATAGTTTAACACAGTTTCTCGTCTCTATCGCACATTCTAAAACAACAGTTATGCAATTGCACTGTAATAGTAGTATTTATATCTGTTCTATCACAACTTACTTTTATCTACACGTAATTGGAATTGAATGCATGAACTGCTTATGAAATGATAGATTTTTGCAAAGTAATGTGACCGTTGATTGCAATAAGCCAACGAATATTATATACAAGTTATTCATTCTAAGTCAACTAACAATGCTCGATCAGGTACATTGACAACTTGATATGATATCACAAACCAGCAACCTCTAGAAATGTTGTAAGTTTGTGATGAAAGGAATCACCGAAATCAACTGAATATTATTAAACAATGTAGTGAAATACTGAACTAACCTTTGAGTGATAATGATTCTGCAAATTAGGAGTTGGAAGTAATCAAGAATGGAAGTCTGTATTCGACGAATTTTAAATTCACATCACTTGATGTGTATACATCGTCTTTTGTATACTTTTCTGCATTGAACATATGTGTAACTAGTGAAGATAGTCGTGATGGGAAATATTGACTTAGTTGGTATTCTGAAGTGCAACTCCTCGTATAATAACTTTAAATTTGTGCGTGGGACATTTCAGCGTTATCAGCATTATCGTTTGCATTGGTTTCTGTTAGCTGACTTTTTCATTGAGTGAAATTGTTGTGTTTGATATTTAATACCAAATGATTATGTATATAATTGCATTCGATACAGAAAAAATCGCAAGATGATCAGAAAGAGCCGGACGACTCAACAGATCTGCTAACAAGAAACACAAGTGTAGAGATTACGAAAAAAATTCCTTCAGCATGGAAAATCGTTATTAAAACTGTTCAAGATGAAATTGTAAGTAAGATAACCTTCAAAATCTAAACAATTTTTGAGTTATTTCTAGTCTGGAATCTTTCTCAAGATTTGCAGATAGTTTAACACAGTTTCTCGTCACTATCGCATATTCTAAAACAACAGATATGCGATTGCATTGAAACAGTAGTATTTGAAATCGGTTCTCTCACAACTCACTCGTATCTACGTGTGATTGAAGGAAAATACATCGAACTCAATAGGAAGTGATATGTTGTCACAAAGTAGTGTCACGGTTAATTGCAATACTCCGTCGAATTCGGTATATCAGTTGTTCATTCTACATCTACTAGCACTATTCGATCAGCTACATTGACACTTTGATATGGCATTATACACAAGAATGTTGTATAGTTGTTGTTGGTTTTTGATGAATCTTATCTCATGAATCAACTCATTATTCTTAAACAGCTTAGTGAAATTTTCTTGAACGAACGTATGAGTGATAATAGTTCAGTGAGATGCAAGTTGACTGCATTCAAGAATGGAAGTCTGTTTCTGGCGAATGCTAAATGCACATCACTTCATGTTTGCTCATCGCTATTTTGTTGATTTGCATTGAATATATGTAAAAAAACTGAGGATACTCGTGATGAGCAATGTCGTCATCGATGGTTTTACAAGTGCAACTACTGAGGACGTTGCCTCCAAAGTAAATTGGTTTTGTTTGCTTTCTGAATCGTAACTGTTTTGTTGTTTGCAATGAATATTATTCTCATAGTTATAACGAAGAACTATCAGAGCTATTAATTATTGTGGAGAGCATAATCGTTAATATTGTTTTTTCTCATTTGATTACACTGAAACATCACTTTACCACAGAATGTAGTTGTTCTGTTTAACTCTGACTGATAGATAATCATGTGTCTAACATTTTTGATGCAGAGAAAGTCGATGGATGCTGAAATAGATGATGAAGAATTAACGGGGAAGGAATCGAGAGAGAAATATTTTAATTTCTTGAAAATCCTCTTACTAATATTATCGCTGATTATAAAATCTCATGGAGAAAGAATTGTAAGTAATATTGTTTTAAAAATTTGAACTAATTTTTTCTATTCACATTGCTCATTTGGAATGTATCTAAAGATTTGCAAACAGTTAAATTTACTTTATTCATCTATTGAATATCCTAAATTCATAAAACGAATGGCATTGAAACATCATACTATGAAAATGGTGCTCTCACATCGAACTTGTATCTAACTTACTATTATGTTCGTCACTTAGTATAGTTGAGGTTATTACGAGTTTACCTTAGTCGATAAACGCAAACGAGACCTCACCAGCGACTAGGCAGCCTACCTTGAATCCCGAAGTAAAGTAAAAAGGCTTTGTAAGCATAGAAAGTATATTCTACAAACACCCTGCAATCACAGTACAATAAAGCATACAACGCTCGTTTATTTATACATCATAGAAACGTCCTTCGGACATTTAAAAAAAAAAGCACACTAAAATACACAGCAGCCAATCGCAGCCACGGATTTTCCTGGTGGGAATTGAAATCTGAAGGTCAACAGATCAGCTCGTGCTAGCAAACTTAAAAAGCAAAATAAGGCATTTATCAAGCGAATTTTGGGGATCTAACATGCCCAACACTCCCCCCCTTTTTAATAGCGTGTGCTCCTGGGGTCGACCTGCATCTTGAATGTCGTTCACCGCTGTCTTAGAGAATAACTTCGGGGACGAAGAACAGTTTGCTGCTGAGTTTCTTCTCGTGGCTGGGCTGCCGGTAGGTTGAAAGTATCAAGCAAGATGTCAAGCGGAAGGCTTTCTGCTCTTGATGGGCGATCTGGGCCTAGACACTCAGCGTATCTGATTTCGATGACGTGACCATTTATCAGCTCCTACCTCTAATTCGTACATAACTCGACCAACTCTTCTGACCACTCTCGCTTCTGCCCAAGTACCGTGGTTCGTTCTGTAGTCGCGGGCAAACATAGGGCATCCCACTTCGTAAGCGGATTTTCTTTGCGGCTTCGTCTCTACTAATGTGGGTGTACTACTCGGATGCGTCAGGCTGTGGATCGTTTTCAATCTTCTTCCAATCAGGATTTCTGCTAGCGACTTTTGCTCCGGTAACAATTTATTTGTTGTTGTCTGATAGATGTACAAGAAATTTTGTAACGCATCGGCTGGTGTCCCCTCCCATTTTCAATTAAGCAATGCTCTTTTCCGCCTGCCCATTCGATTGCGGGTGGTATGGTGGTGAGCTTAAGTGCCTAATGGCTAGCCGTTGGCAGAAAGTCTGGAATTGGGAAGAGGTGAATCGAGAGCCATTGTCGTATATGATCATATGTGGTATGCTATTTCGTGAGAAAATTTTAGTTAGGAGCTGTATAGTCTTAGTTGTAGTGGGCGGCATAACGGGGCTGATTTCCGGCCATTTAGAAAAGGCGTCGACGACAATTAAATACATAGTTCCATTTATTGGGCCAGCGAAGTCGACATGTATCCTGGACCAAGGATGCTCAGGTTTGGGCCATGAAACCGGTGGAATTTTGGCATTCATCTTTGCCGCCTGCTGACACCTCATGCAATTTTCAACCAACGCTCTGACATGTTGATCCATGTGAGGTCAGTATGCATAACTCCTGGCTATGGACATCATTCGTTAAATCCCAGGATGACCGAGATGGAACTGTCTCGGATGCACGGGATGCACGCATAACGGCTTTTTCTGACGCGTCTTGAAACTGATGTGAGATAACAGCACCCAGGCCATATGCTGAAGCGTCTGTTGCTACGATGATCGGCATGGATGGGTCGTTAGTTGTTGGAAGATAGATGGGGCAGTCTTATCTCCAAAAGGAAGACGGCTGTACTGGAACAAACGACGATGGGCATTGATGGTAAGAAGCTCTTTAGATGCTTCATCGACTATCACTTTGCAAAGAAGCATCAGCAAGGTCAAGATTTGCGAAGAACTTTCCCCCATTCACCGTAGTAAACAGATCTGCTGGAACTGGCAGCGGATAATGATACTGTTCTAGACCTGCGTTGAGATATAAAGATACGTTAGCACATATACGTATCGTGCCGTTGGCGTTCTTGATACGGACTATAAGTTCTGCCTAACTAGAGTGAGAACTTACCTACTTACTTACGCCTGTTAACCCCAATGGAGCATAGGCCGCCCTCCAGTTTTCTGCAACCGTAGCTGTCCTGGGCTTCTTTCTCCAGTTCTGTCCAATGTTTGTTCATTGCTCTCATATCTTTCTCTGTTTCTCGGCGTAATGTATTCTTTGGCCTTCCTCTTTTCCTTTTGCCTTGAGGGTTCCATGTGAGGGCTTGTCTCGTGACGCAATTAGGTGCATTTTGTAGTGTGTGTCCTATCCACTTCCACGCCTTCTTCCTGATTTCCTACTCCACTGCAATCTCGTTTGTTTACTCCTACAGTACGTTGTTGCTGATGGTGTCTGGCCAACGAATACGAAGTATTTTGCGTAGGCAGCTGTTAATAAACACTTGTATCTTATGGATGATGGCTTTGGTAGTTCTCCAAGTTTCCGCTCCATACAGTAGCACTGTCTTGACATTTGTATTGAAAATCCTGATTTTGGTTTTGGTTGATAGTTGTTTGGAGTTGCAGATATTTTTCAATTGTAGAAATGCGGCCCTTGCTTTGCCAATCCACGCCCTCACATCTGCATTGGATCCACCTTTCACGTCGATGATGCTGCCAAGATATGTAATAGTGTTAACGTCCTCCAAGGCATCTCCATCAAGCGTGATTTGGTTGGTGCATGTTGTGTTGCATCGGAGAATTTCGCTCTTTCCCTTATGTATGTTGAGACCTACTGCTGCAGAGGCTGCTGCTACACTGGCCGTCTTCTCTTGCATTTGTTGTAGCGCATGTGACAGAAGAGTCAGCCATCTGCAAAGTCCAGATCGTCCAGCTGCGTCCTAACTGTCCAGTTGATACCGTGCTTCCCTCCAGATGTCGACGTCTTCATAATCCAGTAGAACCTTTGAGTCTACTGTCGGTCCCAAGCCCAGGTAAAGGAGGAGGTTTGGACGTGGGGTTGGCGAGATCACGCCAGAAAAACGCTTACCAGAAAATTTAGAGTAACAAACGGGAGTAATAACTCCTTGTCGTTGTCGGCGATCCAGCTGTTCACCGGATGTTGCTAATGTAGCATAAGGTAGGGGTTTCTTTGGACGAAAAGCAGAATTAGGCTCAGGTTTCAACCGATGTGTTGCTTTCATGGCAAGGCATCGACATAATGCAGGTTCAAAAATGGTTGAAAACTCCGTCATCAGCTTCTTCGTATATGATTCGGGGTCATGTGGTTGTGATACCAGGTGGCATATGGTATTTGACAGACATCAGCCAATTTTAACTGGTCAAACAAATCCAAACCAAGTAAATTTAGATCAGCTGGCGTTATATAACATACCCCAGTAAATGACGAGTCCCGGTAGACAACTTTACATTCCAATTGTCCTAACAGACGAAGGTAATTACCACATGCTGTACGAGGCTTCTGTGTTGTGTGCTGCAGGCTTGTGCTACCCAATTCGATCCAATTTTTGCGTGAGAGGATAGTGACATCAGATGCAGTATCTATTTGCAATGTATACAAATGCTCGTACAGAGTAATCAATTTCCTCTCACCTGGTGATGAGCTTTGGCAGGAAGATATTAGGCTCAATGCATTGGTACTGGCTTTAGGAACAGGCTTCTTAGCACTTCTGGATCGGTTTGGCTTTTTCTGTAGGCAAAAGCCATCTTTATGACCGATGACTTTACACTTCCTCCATCTATGCTGCATAAATGGGCAGTTCCGTACATAGTGCCATGAGTCGCAGTGCCAACAAACAGCAGGAGGATTCGTTTTGGATTTTTGGGCAGAGTTGGAGCCAGATTACTTTGGTGTAGCATGGGCAGACTAACTGTGATTAGGTGGCTGCTGTACCAAATGAACTTCAGATCGGCTTGAACTACCACTGTGAACTATAGTTGAGTCTCGCTGTAGATTAATCAGACGTTGTTACTCATTACCCATGTCATTAGGCGTAAGCTTTCGATCTTGCTCCAACCGACATGGTAACCTTGTTCTAATATCACTGAACTTATGCGACTGGAGGCTGCAGATGATTATAAGGTCTTTAAACGGATCTCCCGACAAAGACTTCAACCGAAAGCGTTCGTATTCATGGTTGACGATGCCCACATGCGTAAGAAAATCATCATCTTCGTTCATAATTAGCTTCAAACATCGATAACGTGTATTAAACAGTGGCGAGTTGTCGCCAGAGTGTTAGCTTAAAGCCTGAACTGTCTCTGAAAATGTACTATCTCGTGAGTTTAGAGGCAGGACTAAATTGCAGTACCTATCCAGCTCACGCGCACCCAACTTTTGAAGTAGCAGCCGAATCCTACAAGCATCATCTTGGTTGACGAAATCAAATCTAAATAAATCTTCATAACGCAGGAACCACATGTCAAAAGTAATATTTGCATCAGGATCATAATTCAGCTATTCTATTTGCGATGCGGTCGACCGATGGAGCTGTGGTTGCATTAGATTAGCTGGGCTGTGTGGAGGAGAAATCTTCATGTCTGTTAACATCTGCATCAGTTTCAGCTGCTGCTCAAGTAATGTTTCAAGATTGACAGGATTCATGTTTCCAAAAGTACCGTCGCCAAAAATTGTGTTCGTCACTTAGTATAGTTGAGGCTATTACGAGTTTACCTTAGTCGATAAACGCAAACGAGACCTCACCAGCGACTAGGCAGCCTACCTTGAATCCCGAAGTAAAGTAAAAAGGCTTTGTAAGCATAGAAAGTATATTCTACAAACACCCTGCAATCACAGTACAATAAAGCATACAACGCTCGTTTATTTATACATCATAGAAACGTCCTTCGGACATTTAAAAAAAAAAGCACACTAAAATACGCAGCAGCCAATCGCAGCCACGGATTTTCCTGGTGGGAATTGAAATCTGAAGGTCAACAGATCAGCTCGTGCTAGCAAACTTAAAAAGCAAAATAAGGCATTTATCAA